ATCAATATCGATCAGTTAATGCGGGCCAAAAAGTTGACATCTGACGCAAGCATTAATCTGAGGCACAACATATATACCTAAATAATCTATAAAATAAAATCGAAGACTTAGTCCAATGCTTTGTACTATATCAGACTTGAATTACAAAAGCGGTGCTCATTTCAACTTAACTTTAAATACAACTGTATAGTTTATTATATCGTTTTTTGCTCTCGTAATTTGAATATTTTTTTTTGTATTATCAATAATATATAGTCTAAAACTTTTTACTACACAAATTTTATACAGTTTTTCAGCGGTGGTGTATACAATCCCATCTGAACGGTCTGCATTCTCTTCTTGTTTCATTATCAACTTTCTATATGCAAATGCTCGAATAGCTTGGTTTCCCCTAAAAAAATCATAACAAATAAATTTAATATGACAATAAAAAGATGTTAGAAAAGCTAACATAATACCTATGGTATATAACGAATATCCGAAAACCTTTACAGTACCTTCTTTAGAATGGGATAGATGTACATATTTATAAATTCATCTTCTAGCATATCATAGTTCTTGAGAGGATTGTTATGTAGCAAAGAATACACATCAAAGCTAAAAGATAATAAGAACGTTAATAAATTCTGGTAAAAAATAGTAGGTATTAATTTTGTGGTTTTCTTGTCAGGGCAGAACAATAATATATTTATCAAATACACGTAAAACTGAGAATAAAGAAATTATACTTGCAAGGCTGGCAATGTCTCAAATAAAAATCTCTTAAACTTTCTTAAAAATGGATTCTCTTCCGGTTTCAATAAATTTTCCAACCTGTTATCCCATTGTTGATGGGTACAATTCTGTTAAATAAAACAGCGATGATGTGATTGGCAAGCAAAAAGACAAATTAGTACAAGATAGTACAAAACAATATTGATACCTCTGAAAAAAACTCTTTAAGAAATTCAATCGCACTTTCTGAAAACAACTTATCGACAGGCTCAAAGATCTCTTTTAGAACTTGCATGTAGTCATCCTCATCTGTATATCTTAGAACGAACTCCGAAGACGGGGTTAGGTCCATAATTTCATTCCGAATTAATTCATTAACGGAATCATCACAGTATACTTGAAAACTGCGCACCAAACTGGCCATTTTCTCAGAGCATTGTTGCAGTTCGTTGAGAAGATTTTTAACATGATTATTATCATGATCGCTCTGTGAAATTTATTTGAATCATTAAAAATTCTTGACTACGCAGTTAAAGTGACTAAATATTGCACAATCAGCTATATACCTACCAAACTAACCTCATTTTCACGTCTTTCCTGTTCCTTCACAGTTATATATTCATCTGTTTTTCCTCGCTCAGATGTTTGTTGTGAACAAGACTTATTCGTAAAGGAAGATGACGCATAATTAGATGAATATACATCTTTATCTCATCCTCTTGTTCTTTGATTGATAAATGTTTATAAGGATCTACATAAATGTTTCGTGGAAAATCGCAAATTTAACTCACCATCCAATTGTGACTTGTTCATAATTAAATGAATATACATCTTTATCGTCATCCTCTTGTTCTTTGATAAATGTTTATAAGGATCTACATAAATGTTTCGTAGAAAATCGCAAATTTAACTCACCATCCAATTGTGACTTGTTCATAATTAGATGAATACATCTTTATCGTCCTTTGATTGATAAATGTTTATAAGTATCTACATAAATGTTTCGTGGAAAATACAAATTTAACTTACCATCCAATTGTTTTTGTTTTTTTCGCAAGCTTTCTTCATTCGGTTCTATTGCCCTCTTACTGACGACCTTGTTTAATTCTCTATGAACTTCAGCATTTGTCTCATGGACCTCGTCACGAATCTTCATCTGAAGATATCATGGTTAGCCAAGAACCTTGTCGAAATTTTATGTTTGAACATACCGCTCTTTTCTCTAATAGCCACACATCCCAATCTGAATTGCACTATTTTGTGAAAAAAAA